GCGCCGGGGGGCCCCCCGGGGCGGGCCCTTGGGGGGGGGGGGGGCGGCATCGCTCCCGCCTCACGCCGGCTGCACCTCAATTGCGGCTTCCTTGCCTCTCCTCACGCCTGCCTTGCCTCACGGCTGCCTTGCCTTGCATGCCCCCTTCTCCTCACGCCTGCCACCCCTCGTGGCCACCTCACCTCACGCCTGCCTCGCTTCATGCCCGCTTCTCCTCACGCCTGCCACCCCTCACACCCGCCCCATCTCCTGGCCCACCCTCCTCTTGGCCTCAGCCGTCATTAAACTGCCATTCCAGCTCCCATGTCGCAAACATTGACGTTTTTAGGGGTTAGCCATGGACGACCAAGGCCTCCGTCCTCTCCCCGGCCCTGCGGCACCTCAACTGGAGGCATCACGGCGAGGAGACTCCCACCAGAGCCCAACGCCGAGCTGCTGCTCCATCAGCAGAGGAGTAGCCCGTCTGCCAGCGGCCAAGTTATCTCAGCTTTTTGTTTTGTTCCGCATCAACTTGTGTCCTTGAAACAATTCCTTCCCACATCCCCTGAATAACTCCCAAGCTAAAATTACACACACCGCAGAAAGCAAGAACGTCTCCCTGTTTTCAGACCACACCAAACGAGCTGTGCGCAACTCTGAATCGGCTGCAGCCGCGGCACAGCTCTCCGTTTCTGTCATGCGTGCCCATTCCCTTCTTGTTTAGGTTTCAGCCTCTTAAAACTCACATATATGTGAATGTGGGGTGGGATGAGGGAGAAGAAACATAGCCAGAAGTGTTTTGGACCTTCAAATAGACAGCAACCTAGCAGCCATGGGGTAAATCTGAGATTGCATAAAGTGGGAAGAATTTGACATTTACTTTCTTCACATGGGAATGGCACTTTTCTGTATCTTTCTGTACTGTATGATGCACATGGGATTTTAACTTTTAAAAGCGGCACCTCAAGCAAATTCAACACCATCTCCGTTTCGCTTTTGCCCCATTTTAGGGAGAAAAAGGTGCTAGGGTTTACAAACGTTAGCCTGCCTTTTAGGGGAGCTGCTGCTGCAGGATTTTTCTGGGCATGAACCTGTGAAACAAGATACAAATATCTGAAAAACCTTAGCTTTCATTCAGAAATTCTCATTCAGAAACTGAAGGTCTGAGCGCTCTTGGGTGGTACCTGCACCTGTGGAAAGCCTCATCTGTCCCAGTGGAGCTCCATGCTTGGTCCTCGGGGCATGGCACTGAAAGTGTTGGGCTTTACTCTCTAAAGGCTTGGGATGATTAATAATGTCATGAATGTCACCTTAAGTGCTGATAGAAATATGTGTTGATTATTGTGCCATTCTCAAGCCCATTGTAGAACAAGATCTCCCTTGGAAGAGATGTTTTACATACTTCAGACAAAAGGAGGGACCGTACCCCAAAGAGCTATTACCTCCATAAACAAACCATTGATGGAAAACACAAGGTGTGTATATTAGACCTAAACTGGGAGTAAAATGATCTGTGTCTTGTAATCAGTTCATGGTGTGAGATTTCTTACAGCATAAATTCATCTTTAGATGATTGTGCTTTTGGGACCTAATGGCATAAACCACACCAATATTTTTCCAGCACTGGAGAAGAGCAAATCTGAAGGCTTATCAGGATGTTTGGATTACTTCAAACCCCTCTCTGAAAATGAGAATATTTGGAATAACCTGCCTTTTTTTGGAAAGTGGCACTCACATTGTAGGGATTTTTGAAAACATCCATAATCTGAATTTGTAGGGAAGATGTAATTCAGATATGTAGGTGTAAATTAGCTAAGTAGATGTAATTTATGAAAGTAAAAAGAATCAGTGCAAACTTAGAAAAGTTGGGAAAGAAATTGAAACTACCACAAGTGAAATTTAAAGACCTTGGAAATGTCTGTCTGTCTCTCCAAGCTAATGTCAGATAATGTGTGGAGAAAAGGGATGTTGCTGCTTCTCAGCATTGCCCATAATTTAGAAGTTCCTGCTTTATAGCTCTTATTCTTGCTATTGTAAAATCTTTAAAACTACTCTGCTATATTAGTAGGAAAGTGCTGGTTTATTATGGGTTTTGAGACTTCCTTCTGTGTGTTATCCAGCACAAAGCTGCTGTAAGGCTAAGGCCTACCACAGACGTCTATGCCAGCACTGGAATAAAACAGGAGGGGTCCACGATTCACTGGTGGCAATATATTTATATAGAATAGCCAAGATAATACGAGTAATTATTTCCAGACTGAATAAATTGAATAGATGGGCTTTTAGCAAATCAGCAGTCACACAGCCTTTAACACTTACCGATCTGTGTGGCAAGCCAAGAAACTAATTAAAAAAGAAAAAAGGAAAAAAAAAAAAAAAAAGAACTGGAAGTGAGTTTTGGGAGTGGCCGGACGTGTCTCTAATGGCAGGCTCCAAAGTCCCTTTCAGACACTTTCCCAAGGTTTCCTGACTTCTTTTTTTTTTAACACCAACCTCTCTCTCTGTCTCCCTAATCGAGAGGAAATGGGCTTTGCACAGCTTTTGTCAGGGCTTGAAAGTGCAAGCTGCAGTTTGACTTGAAATCCAAGGCTGCTCTAAACCAAACATTTTGTTCCATTGAAGTGTCACCGTTGTGTCCTCCCCCCAATGGGTACGCTCACAGCCAAATAGCATCAAGGCTTTACTTCTACAAACAAGACGACCTAGCCTGGGCAAATGCAGTTCATAGAAGGTATTGTCTTCCTAACAACAATACTCAGTGCTTACTCAGTCTATGTATTTTCAAAGTATCATGTTAAATCCAGTTAATCCTTTAACGTCCCTGCAGTTTGACAAAAATATTTTTAATTCCACTCTAAAGACAGGGAAACTGAGAGAGGGAGGACAAAGATTTTAAGTATGTGTGTCTAAATTGTCATATCTAGATTCAAATATCCAGACCCAGCTGGAGGCTCTAAGGGACAGATATTCATGAATTTTATTTTTTCATGGATATGCTCAGAGAGCTTATCATCAGGATTCTGGTTTGAAAGCTTGGACCTAAGCCAACTTAGCGCAAATCATGGGAATCAGGAGGTGAACCGGGGTATGAACACAGGGGGTGGTAGCTTCAGTGCAAACGGTGCCATTCCTTTAGCACTGGTGGGGTTATTTAGGAGGAGTGCTGGAGGCAGTTTGGGGTAATACCAGATTATATAGGACATATCCATTTGCAGGAGACCAGTATTCTATGCAGGAGGTATGCATATGGCCAGAGGGCATGGGGAAATTATCTCAGCCTGCCTGCAGCAAGCCAGAATAATCATATTTTAAAAGAACCGCCTCCATCAGCTATGGAACAGGGCGCAGTGCTCAGTCCCTTCACCTCATCAGCACTAGAACAGCAGTGTCAGGGTCCATAAACCTTTGAGTTGGTTACTTGGGTCAGCACAGTCCTGGGTGACACCACTTCTCCTTTCTCCCTGTCTCTAGTGATGCTGTTCGTACCAGATTGTACAGATTGCTCTGTCCACAGCCCTCCCAAGTACAAAACACATTTCTTAGTCTTACCCACGCTAGCACCGACACCCAAAGTAGTAACTGAAACAACATGTTTGCCTGCCCCAGTACATTGAGCGCAGTGGGGTCTCCTGGAGAAGAAGCCGTAGGGAATTTAGGGATTTTCAGTTCTAAACCACTATGTGTTGATGGCGATACAGCGACCAATAATGTCCTGCATGCTTTAGCTCTAACTGCCCGTGCACATTTTGCCAACGGTGATTCCAGATTTGCTCTCAGATTACTTAACTGTGCCTTGCAGGAAAGGAAGACTGGAAACTGATGCGGAAGTACTGAATGCCTGCTGTTAGCTCCTTCCGTGGGTGGGGCTGGCATCCCCGTTCCCCTCCTCTGACAGGTTGGACAGAGCAGAGATCAAGAAGCGGCTGTGTGTCTCCACTCTGCCTATCAGTCAGTAGATAAGCTGACCAGGGTCAAGGCCAGGGTTCCTTGTTTAACCTTGTTCCTTGTTCCAGGGCAAGGTTCCTTGTGTAACCTTGTTCCAGGTCAAGTTAAAGCATTCAGATTTCACTTGCTTTGATCTGTAAACTGTGGATGTAATTTTAGGACTCAACTGTCCTACATAAGGTCATAAAACATACTGTGATTCTTAGAGCGTAATTAGAGCTAGACCCTCACGTCGTGCAACAAACCAATGGCAGAGCCTACGTCAGTGAGAGCAGATACCCAGGCCACATCCGTGAGCTTTCCATTCCTCCTCACGTATCCTGAGCATTTCCCTCGAGCTTAGAGATTTTCCCAATGCATTGTGCACACCAGGATTGTGCTGCACAGAAGAGGCAGACTTTTTCTGCAGCTGTGCTTCTAGCAAAGGGCACTATCAGCATGAACAAAGCATCCCATCAAAACAAAGAACAAAGCACAGTCCTGTAGCTGTTTTTTTTAGTCCACGGAACAACCACCTGTAATAGCTATCAGGCTCCACAGAGTGGAGCAGGCTTAATAAAAATCAATCAATAATTCTTCTGCCTTACCTCTTCCGTCGTGCTAGAGTATTGAAGAGTAGTTGTTGTAATCCAGGCTTTCTCTGTTACTGCAGATTTCAAGCCAAAGTAGAGGTTTTCAATGAGGTTTTTACTGAAGTGTTCAGTCACGTTTCTGATGAACATCTCTGTGCTACTCTTCAGCAGATTTTCAGGCCTAGAGGTAACGGCGTTTAAAGGGGGGGATGTAGTTCTAGTGCTCCATACAGAAGTGCCTGCATCTTGGAGATCTAAGACAAATAAGGGAAAGTAATTAAAATCAGCTCTACATTTTTATAAACAATTCTTTCGATGCCAATAAATGTGGCTGATACGACTTCTAAGTAGTTTAAGTGCACCTGTCAGTTCTATGGTTTTTTGTTTTCAGTGCAAACACGTATTTTGCATCAATACCAAAGTCTGTGCAAAACACAAGCAGAAAAAAATTAATTTCCCTGAATGTTCATACCATTCATTTTAAATACAGTCCGTCAATGATTCTGAAGTGATGTACTTTGCCGTTAACAGCACAGTGTTTTCACTCGTAGCTTTTTCACTTGCTTGAGTCTCTCAAACAGCAGTCTCAGCTTTATATGGTCAAGCCCCCCTTGCCTTTGTAAGTACATGGGCCAGATTCTCATCTGCCTTTTGTTGGTGTAAGTTCAAGATATGGCTCTGTTCAAGATACTTTTTCAAGATAATTTGTTCAAGATAATTTCGTTGTTCAAGATATTTGTTCAAGGTAAGTTCCTTGTGCCCACATGGGACATTCCTCTTGTATTTTTAAATCAGTCCCATGCAGAGACCATGCTAACCCCTGACTGCTCTCTTCCCGAGGTTCAGCTAACAATTGTATCAGTTAACTGAAGTGTCTGCAAATATAATGGTGGATTTGCTTTTTTAGTCACGTATCCTTCAGAGAACGCCAAAGTTGCAATTAGAGCGCAGGAAAGATTTTACTACACATTTTTCCTCCACATTTTCATGGCTCTTCCTCCCCATTGGTATGTATTTAATATCCTTTCTTTGTGGCTGTGAGGCCAGGGTTCAAGCTGTGGTGGCCTCTACATCTGGTAGCATCACATTTCAGCTAAGCGATTGGAATTACTCACTGGCCCCTTCTCCTCACAAAAAGCTGCCCTGCCATTGCTGGAGCACAGCTAGTGTGCATTGGCTCAATGCCCAAGACACTTTGTCTGTCCTTGAACTGGGGTCTCCAGCATGACAGAACCTTGTTTTGCTGCTGAGCCACTGGGCTGGTTGCCATTTACAACAATTCTAGCTCACAAACCCTCTAAAAAAATGTAATGACTGGGTTAAATTGCAGCAGAAGCTTCCAAATGTAATTACTTGGTGTGCAATTATGATGTCTTAGCAGGCCAATGTGTGATTACCTCTTCCCCAAAGGGTCACTGGGTGAGCTTCCATGAAGTCAACATGAGGGTTTTTTTTGTATATGTGTAAATATATATGTTAACATGTTTATATAAAGAAACTTGCAGTACTCTCATTTGCAGCCAGAAATAAAAATGAGATTGTAAGCCCTTGTAAGAAACACTTTCATGCAAGTGTGTCCTGTGCTTGACAGCAGAGTGCATTCACCTGGTACGTGGTTTTGGATCCTCTTGAAAAGGATTGGTTTGCTGGAATGGGTTGATACCCAGATTAAACCTTTCTCCTCCTTTTATCTGACCGTGCTTCTCTGGGAATAAAAATCTCCAAATCTCCATTTGATTACAAAAAATGTTGATCAAATATTTTTCCAAATCAAGGCACTAAAACCAATACTGTAGATCTAATTCTGCTCTCTCTTATATCTGTGCAAAGGGTTTCATCGAACCCTCAGTTCTGGTCCAACACTGCACGATCATCCTCATGCTGCTGCATTTGCAGAATCCCCTGGAGAGTGCCTGTGGTGCAGAGTCTGCCGTGGTCCTATGTCGCATACCTTCACGGACCCCACCAAAAGGCCAGGGAAGAGTCTGGCAGGGGCAGCCCTGTGCTCAAGCTGTTGTCAGCTGCTGAAATAAACCCATTAGTTGACACAAGCCCAGACTTTTAGTCTAAATTCCATGTCAGTCATTGCTCCTGGGGATCTCCTGTTAGTCAGGGGTCTCTGAAAGTCTGCAGTAGGCAACTAGAAATGCTTGTCCCAAGGACTTGGGAAGAATTAGGCCTGCTGGCTCTGTGCCTCTCAGATACCTCCAAGTTCAGCGGGAGAAAGTGACAGAAAGACAGCTAAAAAAAAAGTACAGCTGAGTGGTCAGCAGCCACTTAGAAAAAAAGGCCGCTCGATTGAGTTCCTAAATATAGATTTACACACTCAACTTAAAAACACATTAAAAAAAAATCTTGGCTTTATTTACAGACAAATAGCAGCAATTCCAACAGGAAGATGTTTGCGTTCCAGTGCAATTGTGCTTTAGGAAAGCTGCTGCTCCATAAAAGGGAAGTTGGTGCTGCCAGCGACATTTATGGGACTCAGCAGCCAGGGGATAAGCAGCATTCCTGGTGCAGGAGCCGAGGGGAGAGCTCGACCCTCCTGGAAGCGAAACACTTCGTCCTCAGAAATGTTCCACCAGCCCAAGGAGGTTCCATGCAGCAGCACTTGGTCACTGCACACCCCGAATCCTCTTATTAAGCTCAGGGCTATCCTGGGTTTCCAGCTAAAGGATCTTTCCCAGCAAAGACTGACAACAGTCTGTTATCTGCAACCTCTGGATGGAAATGGCTTGCTCATAGCACTAGGCCATACTGGAAGTTCAGATATACGTACCAGCACTTTCCATGTATCCAACAGTGGACTGACTAATAGGGTTCATATCTGCCCTCACTTCAAGAAAATCAGGATCCAGGTTTATATTCTCTTCCTACGGAAAGCCACTATGGTCCTAGCATAAGGACCCTCATAGCCCTTCTTCAATAGCAGGCACTTATAAAAGAAAACTGCGTATTATAAGACCAAAGCAAACAGATTTCTACACAACTTGAGTTCCAAAGTTTTAAACCAGAAAAAACTCACCTCCCGTCTGGACATCAGTAAAGTACACAGAAATCTCAACAGTGGGATTTTTCAGAAGTGTTTAGCATTGTTCTCGCAGTCTCTTTGGAAATCAGTCATAAAACTGTTCATGGGAACAGAACTGCAGCACTGACGCTGACGTTGATCACTAGTGACTGAATGATATACAGCGTGTGAACGTGCCATTGTAATCATCAGTAGCACACCCAGGAGAAATTATGACATTCTGACTAAGCGCGTATTTCATCCGTGGGGTGCACTGCAGACTGCATCCACCTGCACAGCAGCAGGCTGCTTACAAGAAAAGGAAATCCATACGTTTCGCATGTATGATGAGCAAGAGCACTGATTAGCTGTCAAGTACTGAGAACCCTACAGTGCTGCCTTCGGACTCAGACGAGCCGGCACGGCGCAGCTTTCTGCAATAGCTTGCATCGTACCAATCTGCCTACCCTATTAAAGCACAGTTTCAGAAAACTAAGGCTGAACTGCTAGTGAAACATAAATGAATCAGATATCTATTGTATAAGAAAAAATACTCTGTAAGACTGCGTCTAACTCGCTGACAGCAAGACTTGAAACTAGAAGGGGTTGTTTTAAGAAAGATCTCTGTATGTGCAGGACAAAGTGAGTTATCTTTTTAGCTGTCCAACCACTTATAAATAAAAACAAAGACTCTATTTAAAAAACATAATTCAGATTTCTGTCGTATGTAGGAGTGTGACAGAAGAACAAAATCCGCTAAATGTCCTTTCTTTCCCATTCAATGTAGACCTTTTAAAAACTGCAAAATTTATCCTACTCGAAAAATTTTTACCTTCTTTATCTGAAATATTGTAGAAGTTAGTGATGTTTGTATCTCATGTCAGAGAGGTCAAATGTCTCCAAACTCCAGTCTAATCCTGAGCTGCTCTTTTATTTGCTTGTTTTTGAAATGCTGAAGTAGCCACTTAAAGGCTCTTTCAGCACCAGTGGTAGCAGCCCATCCCAGATAACTATGGTGATAACGCCGTAGCTCTATCAGCCCTATTTCTGACACTCTGGATAGCCCCAGCTCACCCTGAAGAAGATTTTTGGTCCCTGAAAGGTATCTAGACTCTGTTAACTCCATGGATTACACCTCTACTGAAGAGAGCTCAGAAAGGTAGCTACTAGGTAGACACCTAGGACTTGGTTCCGTTGCCCAAACGTAGTTGCCTCATGCAATCTGAACTGCTCCGGGGCACCTGAGACATCTGCTCAGGGCTCTCAGAGCACCTATGGGAGACTTACGTCTTTCTGGGTAGGTGGTCAGAGGCCAGGTAGGATATCCTGGAGCATCTCAAATGACAAAAAGCACTTATGTTGAGACAACTGAAAGAAGACCTTCCTTCAGACACCTACATTTAGACACCTAGGAGGTGAAACCCACTCCAGCTTCTACACAGAGATCCATACAAAATAAAGGGAGAGAACGTAATAATGAAAATTACCAGTATAGTTGTCTGGAATTGGCATCTTTGTTAGCACTCGCAGCAGAAGATGAAATAGTAAAGCAGGATTTGCCATCCTCCTGGTTGCTCTGGGAAGCTGTTCATATTGCTCCATTTTTTCCCTGTGAAAGTAGCTGAGCTGATTTTGTTCTATACTCTCTGTGCTGTGGCTCACTGAGACTTTGAAAATTTATGAAAACCAAAGACCTAGGCTATACTGCAGATTTGTCCATGTCTTTTTACAAAATATAAAATCACATTTATCTTTTTGCTTCTGTCAGTATTGGATTGTGTACAAGGTCTTGTAATTATGTCCAAGGATCTGACATTGATGCCTTTCTTTTTCCAGGTGGAGCTGAGCAGAAGCGGTCAGCCATGTATTGCTTTGACCAAAGAAAGAAGACTCAGGTAATTTTTGGTATTTCATCATAGAGGCTAGCAAACTCTTTTACTTATAAAATCCTATAAAATAATAATTCGGGAAGATAAAAATGAGTTTGAGTGAATGTTTTTTAGGAAAAAAAGTTTTGGGTCAACTCGAAGGTGGAAGAAAAATATTGATTCTCACTGTTCTAATTTATCCTGGAGAAGGTTGTAAAGATTACACACACAAAAACCCAATGTGTTGTGAACCTATGGATGGATTGTTGCAGTCATTACAAACACTAAAGGTGTGGAAAAATTAAAGCCCAGAGATATTAACATGGTTGCAAAAATGAGTAAGAGTTGCTGCCTTTTCTGTGCTTCTGCCGCTTTTCTCTGGGGCTCTTCTGCTTTCCCAAGAGTGCCAAGGAGGTGCACGTCTTCTCTTACCATGTTCTGAAGTTGCTACTGCTGCTCCAGCGGTGTGGAGCGTGCTCTGAGTGTGCACTGCTCTGGTGTCTTCTACCTTCCATCTCACCCGCTGAAGTGCCAGTGGTGGGATGTGAACTCAATAAGCTCAGGTTCTGATATGAAGCAGGCAAACTCAGAATGGGATAAGGGGAAGAGAGAAGCCCACGTGAAAGAGAAGATACAGGGCCAGAAAATGGGGTAGAAAAGGAGGAAGGACTGTGGAGGTAACAGTTTGAACATCAGATGGCACATCAGGCTTTGGCCTATACATAGTATCTGATATTTTGTCTATTTTAGACGGCAAGCAAAACAAGAGATACAAAGATGCTGTATTTGTTATTTGAATTCCTTGTCCAACTTGTTTTATAATTTTGTAGATCCCACTATGGTTCTTAAGTACTTGGCACATAACAGCAAGTAATAAAACCATTCTCCTCCACAAAATCAGTCGCTCCTTTGAATGGGGCTTTGTCTTGATATCCACAGTTCTAGGGCTTCGCAGCTACAATTCCTTCAGGAGATGTCCCTACTACGTATGATATGGTAGAAGAGAAATGCGATGCAGAGCATCGTATTACAAAACAGTTCATGTCACCTTCTGCATCCAGCCTGCTCTACAGGCTGTGTGACAGCCTCTAGGTCTCAGGGGATAACTGCAGCATACAGCTGGGACTTGCGTCTCCCTGTTTGAAGTCATTCTCCACTTCTTAGTGAATAATTTTTGGTCTGCAGTGGTTTTGAGGTTTGCTGGTAATATTCGAGGTGCCACATAGCATTGCCTCTGTTCTCTAATTGGATATTTTATTGAAACTAACCTATCCAGAACAAAAGAAGCTTGTAAGAATTGCTTACACAACTCAGAAGTGACATCAGCATTCGTGTGTCAGCATTAGCGGTGCTCCGGGTGCTTTCCAGACATACAAAAGGAAACGGGGTTTGTTCCGCAATTGTTAGTTGCGTGCAACAATTTTTGCTCTTTTCAGTCATCCTGCCTTCTACCCCTTCACCTTCCCCATGTTTTCCTCCTCCTTGTTTCCATTCCTGTCCCTCCTCTTGGATCCTGGGCTTAAAGAATCTCTGATCCCAACAGCCGGCTAGTGAAAAGACGGCCTTAGCCCTATAGAGACTATTCCTCTCTCTGCCCAGAATCTCCTCATGAATTTGATGAGAGCTGAAGTCTCACCATCTCAAGGGAGACTGATACCTCGTGGCCCTTCTTCATGCTAGCTGTTTCAGCCAGAGGCCAGATTCAGCCGTGGGTTTGTGGGAGAAGGACTGTCCGCTGTTAGATTTAAAGTGATCTCTGACTGAACAGAGATGGGATACATATTTAAACCGATCCTGATTTCCACAAAGAGTCATTTAGGTCAAGGTTGTAGCAAAAAATGTGCATCCAATCTCATCTCAGGTGGCTGATTTGAAATCCAAATCCAAGCTCAGACTCTCCCCAGGCTCAGAAAAATCATGCTTGGCATTTGAGTTAGCTCCAGAATAAAAGGTAGCTGCAGCTGTTGGGTTTGGAGCTTGTACTGTATCTGGGCTGATAAGATGGTTGGGATGCAATTCAGTGAGTTGCTCCTTTGCCAAAATATAACTATTTTTATGAGTACTATGAAAACAAAGGGTGAATTATATCAAAATATGGTGTTAGTCAGGAGTAGAAAAACTTACAGCCACTTCAGCTCAAAAGACTTTGCTCAGTTTTTACTATCTTAGCTAAATATAGACTGAAGATATTATTTTAGGCTGATCTACTGCTGCTTTCACTGAAAGCAGACAGAAGTTCTTAGAAGACTAATTTTACACATTCAACATTGAAAATTTTGACATGCATATGGATGTCAAGACCAGGACTGTGGGCATTACATTTTGTTCTTGTAGTGCTTCTTATTATTCTTATTATTATTTGAAAAATTAATCTCTTTGCACTACTTCAACTCTTTATGAGTTTCTTATATACCTGCAATTCTTAGTTAGGTATTGAGGATCATAATGTACTGTTGATTTCTCAGGAGAGCTTCCCAGAGCTCTGGAGATAAAAAAAAAAAAGAGATAACTGACACAGTGAGACTCTTAAAGTGGATCTACAGCCCTGCCTATGGAGAGAATTTCAGGAAAATTAAGGTAAATTCATTAAAGGACCGAGCACAGTAAATAGATGAGAAGGTGCTTTAATAGCCCATGACAATTGTCTTACTCAGTACTCATTGGTCTTAAATTGCTTCTCCTCTGAAGATGATTAAGAAAAGGATGTAACTCTGTTAGGCCACACTTCATCCAGCTATCTAAAGAAAATAACACTGCCTACGTACCTCATCTTAACTTGTCATGGTGTCTTTGAATAAGCGAGCCATGCTCACCCTATACACAGGACTTCAAATGATTTTGCCTTTTTAATCTCCAAAATATATGGGAGGGCTGGAATGGCATCTTGGCCAGTTTTCCATTCCCTGATTCTGCTAGCTGTCCTCTCAGACCTCCACTCAGGTGAGTAGTCCTGCTGCTGTGAGTAGAGTTCTGCAAGTGCAAATTTGCTGAAAAAAAATGGTACCCTGCCTTACAACAACTGGCACGTTAGAAAGGTTAGAAAGAACAAGGATTTGTTTTAAACATTCTGAAAACTTGGCCATATGCAAAAGTATTGGGTCATAAAACATTTTTTTTAATCCTGTAAAGACAAGAATAAATTGTGTGTTCCCCAATAAAGAGCTTAACTCTGCAGGTTGTTCTTATTTACCATGAAGAACTGCTTAATATTGTGCAAGAAGAATGTCAACAGGATTGTCAGGAAGGACTGACAACAGGACATCAAGGGAAGCGTTATTAAGCAGTATTCAAACCGTTCTGCCTTCCCTTTTGCTATGGCTATGGATGCATATAACCACACAGGTATATCAACACCTCTGTAAGTATGTGCGCAGACCCATATATCTCAAAGTGCTATTGCAAGCATTTCTGAGATTTTTGATTCAGTTCATTATTTTCAGGCTTTTCAGTGTTCTCATATATATTACATCTAAGGGCAAAGTGACACTGTGTAAACATGTGAATGTGTAAGCCATATGTCTGTTCTAATCATGCATTCGGGTTAATCAGAGAAGTAATTGTGCATGTGTTTGATTTTCAGATGTCTTCTTGCTCTTGACAGATTGAATCTGGATTTGTATGGTAAAATGAATGGGGAGGAGGGGGACTTTTATCCATCCATATTTTTTAAAAGTACTAGGAATTAGTACCCACAATTCCATTTAAAAGTGAAAAAGGAAATGACACAAGAATAGTAAGCTGAGCTTACACGTAAGCACTTTGATCCAAAGATTGGGAGTAGAGAAAAGGAGGGACATCCTGAAAATATAAAATGGCTTAAAAACCCCACCAGTTGTGAGAAAGACAGCACTCATCTCAGCAGTTCTTTCTATGGTTCTCTAAACTCTTTTCCACTATGAGAAATGTTTTTCTGTATGAATAACATATAATCATTTTTAACACTGGAGTTAGCATAAAAGAGACATTTTTGTTACCAAAACTTCCAGGATACTTCCTTGAAGGAGTAGCTCACCTTGCTTTGAGCACAGATTTACATAAACAGGTTTTCCTGTCTCGCTGGCTTCTAGCTGCATCCATGTATGAAGGTATTTCTTACTCTTCTTGGCCATTACCTTCTGACCTTGCTTTGTGAGAAAGAGAGAGCTGTTGGCCACCTTCAGGAGCCCGTCCTCCTCATGGCAAGTCCACCTGACTGCCTGGGGACAATCGATGACGATGCTGCGAGACGACAGGGCAGAGCGTGTAGAGATGCTCAGGCACCGGGCAGATTTCACATGGAGGAGCTTGTCATCTGCCGTCCACTGCCACTGCTGGTTGAGGTTGGTCATACTGCACTTTTCCATAAGGACTCCTCTCTTTTCTGAAAGACACTGCTGTTTCTGGACATGGATAATCAGAAACCCTTCTGGAAGAGGAAAATTCCAGAAAAATACAAAAGATTACACATGGTTATTTAACAAAAAGCAAATTCTTGATGATTTAAAATACATCAACAAATAAATCTCTCTTCCCTCTTTCTATATGTTGAACTTTTCATGAACTTCCCATGTGTTGAACCTATATAAAAAAACCCAAGATGTACAACCCACATGATGCAAGTGCTGGTATTGTAAAGAGTGAGAATGCAAAAAGCAAACTACTGTGCAAAGGTCACCTTCACCTTCATTATATATAAAAGTGAAGAAAAAAATAAACTGGATATAAAAGAAATCCAAGAACTATTAACTTTAAATACCAATTCTAAATACCCCACTTCCCCTGCTTGAAAGCATAGAGATCTACACAAGCTCTCAGTCTTTTTTCCATTTTACGACACAGTCTTTTTACAATATAATTTACTGCCTGGAAATTGTTTTAGTAATACTCATAGTGTTTCTGAAGAAAACATATAAAAGGACGTTCCCAAATCTGTGTGCCTCTCAGTGCCTGTGCCGTTACAGGAATGGAGGCTCTTTACTGATAGGAAGCACATCTATTTTACTGGATTTACTCCAATGTCTCTCGCTTTTAGTTTTGTGACCGTCCTAATTCACGTTAGATTAGCTCTTTGTGCCACCACACCAAAAGATCAACACCAAACACTCCAATGAAGAGAACTACAATGCGTTCATCAAAAAACCCCAAAGTTACCAATGCAAAATCCATACTTGTTACAGAACACGGAACTGGATATTTCAAATGCAGCCTCCCTGCCACATCTTGTTTAGGTTTTTCTCTTTTTATCATCTCAGCTACTCAAACATTTCCAGCCTCATTAGTCACACAGTGCTAAACCCAACGTGTATTTATTTCCCTTGGTTGAAGTTTGTCATCCCCCTGTTTTTACAGACCTGGGTATTTTCTAACTAAGCATCACAGAAAGCTCCTGGCTCTGGAAGTTTCACAAAGTAGGACTAAAAAATAGGAATCTCCCCTTCGAAGAGCTTTTCCCAAAGCTCAGCTCCCAGATTGTCTAGCAGGAGATCTTCTTAAAAAAAAAGAAGAGGTATCTCCAGCATAGAAGGAGACAGTTTATTTTCCTTTGGAAAGAAATCTAAACAGAACCGGCTACGTTGGCCCTGCCCCCCATTCCTCTCCTATGAACCCAAGCGAAGAAGTGACTCGGTTTTTGTAAGTCGCCAGCTGCCCCGGAGGGCTCTGCTCGGTGGCAGAAAGAGCCACACGGCGGAGGGGAAGCAGGGAGAGACACTTACCTGAGAACGTCAAGGCAAGACAGGTAGAAACCAGGACGTGAAATAAAGAATCCATTTTCCCTCTAGCAACTCCCCATGCTTCTCTTAAAAAAAACCACCTCAGATAAAGTGAAGCGAAGGCTAGGAAGGAAATGTGCCTTCACGGGGGGAAAAAGTCAGTGACGAGCACTTCCTTCTATTCAATTGTTTTGGGGAGTTTTACACCACTTTTTGTCCTTTCATATGATTCTTCAGAGTTTACTAGTTGCTTTATTTTGGAAAAATAAAAGCAAAAGAGAGAGAGGTTTTCAAACATCCAGGAAACTAAAAGCGATGATGTTGAATAAAGAAAAGGGATTATACTTTTGTGTAGTTCATTGCCTGTGAAATACTACAAGTCTGCAGGTGATCTGGATGGTGCTGAATAAGTATAAACTGTATTATCTAGGGAACAAACACACATTTTTTTGTAACTATACGTAATCAAGCAAAATCTCGATATTGATAGTTCTGACTCCACAAATTCTAAAAGCTAAGTGGAGAGGGGGAGGAGAAGGGGAAGAGGAGGAGGCAAAGCTCTGAAGTCCACACTGGGTCTTACACAAACTCCCCCTGAGGGATGAAGTGATGCTGGTTTTGCCTTCCCATCAGGCGATCCACCTTGCTCCATGTCAGTGGGAGATGGGCTGTGTCCTCTGGATCGGCTCTCCAGTGGTCTGAAGCCACGGTGGAAGCTAACCAAATTGTACTGGGCTGTCCCTGTTCATGGGATTACGAGAGTGTGTGGTGCATTGGCTACTCTAGGCAAGAATAGAGACTTCAGTAAATATTTTATATCAAGTGTAATTTATTAGCAGTATGAAGCAAAGTCAACATCACTGCATTAAAAACTCATTATACCCTGTAAACAGACCTCCCAGTGCTGTAAGTCATAATGCCAACTTTTGCATTTCTCTTAAAACCAAACTCTTACTGAACAGTAAAGGAAACAGTCATAGCAGCATTTTCTTTCTTGTATAACCTGTCGTGGAACAGTTCATATCACTAAAGGCATCTATCTCTTACTGAAAGAGAGAGAGCAGATAAACAACATAAGCAAAAAATCCCGTGTTAATAAAAGACAGACAAATATTTAAAATCCTTACCATTTAATATATGCTACAAAGTTTCTTTTAAAAGTAAAATGACTTACACAATTTACAAATACACTGGATTCGGGTCTGTAGCAGAAGCACGTTCTAAGACAATCAACAGTATAGGGTAAATACATACACACTGAATAACAGACATTGTGCTCTGCAACTGCTCTGTAAGACCTACAGTAAATACACATTTAATAGTTAATAGTATGAAGAACATATATTTCCATATAAAATATTAACTGCTTTTGAATATTTTCAAAAACAAGACTTTTAATTTTTTTATTATCTCATCTTCTTTTTTTTAATCCATAATTGAACACTTGCAATTTTAGCAGCAAGAATATTATGTGGCCAAGAAACAAGCTCACCACATAATCAGTAATAGCACTTTACAGTACAGTTGACAGTCCATTCACAAGACAGTTTGCAAACGTTAAAGCATTTATACACTTGATAAACATTTCTTCTGTGGAAGTTCCAATGTCCATCCGACTGCAGCAGTAGCACATACATACATTCCATATGGCAGATATCAGTATTACAGAATTAAACCCACCTTTAGATATATACGTGAAATCCATGTGTTGTTTCAGTACGGTACCTTCTTTATAAATCATTTTTGGGAAGCTCACAATACATTCATATACAGTAAGGGTCCAGCAATCTCTATACTTTTGCCAAACCGTCCGCAATCCTTTCAGAAGTTGGCCTCAAAGCCACTCTTCCCACTGCAGTAAACTCCTTGAAGAAGCTGCTGGTAGGTAATGAAACAAATTACCTCGAGAGACTGACATTCGGTTTTACCCTCCTTGGCTTCACTGGACAGCTTCTGCAGAAAGTCTGCTTTCATACAGGCTCAGTGCATGGTGCACAAATTCATACTGTTCGCTGGTCTGAACCATTCCACCCCTGAAAAGGAAACACATCGGAATGAAATCTTATTTCTTAAGAATGCAACAACCTCCAGCCCCTGCCAACCCCATGACCACCAGACATGGTGGTATTAACATGGTGGCTTGTATTAACAAGCCCTTTTCTCAGTTTTTGACGTAGAGCTTGCTTGAGTAAGTGGGAGATCTGCCTGAGCAGAAGTACTTTCTTCATAACTTAGGCTGTCCAGCACATGCCCAGCATGAACCACCATTCCCGATTCCGTCAGGGTAAGAAGTAGAAAGGAAAACATCTGGCATCTACATTGTTAAAACCTACATTTCAGATTCAACAGATTCATAGAGAATTTTGCACAGTCACTTGGGCACGGAAGGCCAGATACACGGACGCAGCATTACTATTGATGGAGCAAGGGAGTATTCAGAATCTGGCCTTTCATTTTTGTCCTTTACTAAAAATGTAACCTTTGGTGACCCTCAGATCGCCTGTGCAGAGAACAGCGCTTCCTGTCCTCTTTCTAACGCCTACGATGCATCCGGTCTGAACAGCAGCCACCGAAGAAATGTTACAGCAGTGACTCATTTCAGCACCAACAATACAAAAGAGTTTAACTAACTTGACCATAAAAAGGACTAGTTACAGCCAGCTTGGATTAGATGCCTGCATTTAATACATTCACCTGATAACAATCCCTTTTTCAGGTCTAAGTATGAGGGTCAAGTCCCACATCTCCAGTGCCAACTGCAGTGTGCTAGGAAGGGGATGACGTCCTACAGGAGGCAGGTGTGATATTTAGCGAGAGCGGTACCATTCAGCTCTGAAACTAAACTCAGCCTCTTTCTGACAGCACTAAGATCTTCTAGGTCTCGCTTCTCATGGAGTGAAGCCTCAAGTTTACTTTTATTACTGCATCTGCCAGGGTATTCAAAGCTACCTACTCTGCTTCTAGAACCAAGCCCCCAGTTCATCCTCAGCGTACCTTGGAGCAGCTAGTTACCTTCAGGGGGATAAAAGAGTAAATGGCCATAGTGGGAAGGAAGACATTAAGATGCGTATTGTATTTGGCTTCAGCTAGATCTTCACTGAAACAATCAGATTTGTGAGGGATTAGGATCCAGAGCAATGCTGAAGCCAGGCATCTTACAGGAGAAGGTCTGACAAAACCCCATGTGTCCCTTCAGACACCCTAGCAACAAAAGGGCCTACTGATATACAAAGCTATATGAAAAATGGTAAAACCGCCTCAACAAGTATTGTCCTTTAGTATTGGAGAATGCTATCTACAACCATAAGGCCCTTTTATTTTCCGCAGTGCTACTGGATGGTTAAATGGCTGTGGCAGGAAAAACATAATTAAAACAATACCTACTTCTTTAAGCTGTCTCTGCTTCTCCAGTGAGCTCAGGCAACTGTAAAAAACCTTTTAGTGAGCTGCATGTCTATTATGATATGTTATTCCTAGGAATTAAATCACAGGCCCTTAAATGGTCCCATCCGGTGCAAAATGCAGCAGCCTCTTAATTTTGCCAACAGAGACATCCACAAATTCCTAACTCTTGGCTGCCTGCTGCCTTCAGCTGCTCTCCTCTGTGCACGTCCCCTGCCCGGAGATCCAGCAAGAGTCTAAAGGTGACGGTAGGGCTTTGCTCTGGTCCTCTGTGCTGCTTAGTCTCCTTCCTTCCTCCTCACTGCTGTGTCCTGCCCTGCCCACGCAACCCCTTCCCAGCCAGCTTCCCTCCCTGTCTCCCCCATCCGTGTTCCCCCAAGATGTGCTCTAAGGGAGTGTGTTTCCCAGGTTAGATCTGCTGTGTGGAAGGGGTGGAGGAAGGGAACATATCCAGGGAGAAGGACTTGGCAGGAAGGGCAGGTTAAAACAAGTTTGACTGCACTAGGCTGTTTGTGGGGGTGATCCTTGCTCCTTCCTCTTCGGTGCTGAAGTAACATAGAAAATCCGCAAGAAGGCATGTATAAGCCTGGCTGGGGCTCAGCCCAGCACTACCACATCTGTCGTGCTAGCAAGCATAACTGGGATGTTATGGTACTTCTGAATCCTGTATGGGCAAATGAGTGCACCTCCCTGTCAGCTTAGGGACACCTGAGAGTTATACAGAGGTTCAGACAACTTGGCCTTGTCAGTGCTATTATACCTGGCATTCAAAGAACCACAGCATCACAGAATGGTTTGGGTTGGAAGGGACCTTTAAAGATCATCTAGTCCAACACCCCTGGTAGGGACATCTTTCAATAGACCAGGTTGCTCAAAGCCCCATCCAACCTAGCCTTGAACACTTCCAGGGATGGGGCATCCACAACTTCTCTGGGCAACCTGTTCCAGTGTCTCACCATCCTCATGGTAAAGAATTTCTTCCTTACATCTAATCTAAATCTACCCTCTTTTAGTTTAAAACAATTACCACTTGTCCTACCACTAAAGGCCCTGGTAAAAAGGCTTTCTCCATCTTTCTATAAGCTCCCTTTAAGTATTGAAAGGCTGCAATAAGGTCTCCCTGGAGCCTTCTCTTCTCCAGGCTGAACAACCCCAACTCTCTCAGAAGGAGAGAAGGAGAGAAGCACCTCTCTCATGAAGGAGAGATGCTCCATCCCTCCGATCATTTTTGTGGCCCTCCTCTGGACCTGCTCCAACAGGTCCCTGTCTTTCCTGTGTTGAGGACTCGAGAGCTGGATGCAGTACTGCAGGTGGGGTCTCACCAGAGAGGAGCAGAGGGGCAGAATCCCCTCCCTCGGCTTGCTGGACACGCTGCTTCTTATGCAGCCCAGGATACAGCTGGTTTTCTGGGCTGCAAGCACACATTGCTGGCTCACGTCCAGCTTTTCATCTACCAATAATGCCCAAGTCCTCCCCTTTGTTCTTGTGCAAGGGTCATGTTTAATAGCAAGGAATTATCTGTGAGAGCGTTTCAGGAGGAAATCTGCTCAAGGAGGGAGGTTTCCTCTCCCGTGTCCCTAGTGCCCAGAAGGGATGTACCCACAGCTACGGCACCTCCGGGTGTGCAGCCTTCGTCCTCTGCCAAGCCCACGCTGC